GGTTACACATAGGGAAGGAATAAGAAACACCTTCTGCTCCTCAGTCCCAAACCTACCTGGGGTTTCTATTATCCCTCTGCCCTTGATCCTGCATCCCAGTCTAGGAGAAGGGAGCAGATAAGCAGAGGACCTACAAGCATCTCAATTATCTTCTCTTCCCCTCTTCTTCATCGCCTGATACCAACATGCCTTCATCTAACTGGAGGGCAGGACACTGTCCTTACTTATTTCAGACAAGTCCATGCTCTTGTCCACTCAGAACCTGGTCTTTCAAACCTCAAAAGACACTTCCCTACCTTCTGCAATGTCATCTCTTCCCCAAATCACTAAATGATGCTCAGGCTACAGAAGGGCCTTCTGGTACAAGGGAATACAATAAGGAGCATCCATTACTACATCAAAATATCCCCCACTTCGTTTAGACATGTATAGAAACTAACTTGTAGAGTAGGACTATCTGTATGCGATAGCCTTTTGTTATGTTTCGAGTTTTTACAGTATTTGTGTTCTACTTGTATAATTTTTGTAAGTTTTTTTTTTCAAGAGGCCTTCCTATGAACAAAAAAAAAATGTTTGATATTTTGTTAGAGCTTGAATACCCTTGGGTTCCATTTCCCCTTGCAGGAGTCTGTAACTTTTGTGCTAAACAGGTTGAGTTACAGATGCTGCTCAGAAGTCCCTTTGCCCTCCACACCCTCATCTTTGAGTGATGATGATTCCGGTTGATGATTTCTGTGGGGCATTGGACCAGGAACCATCTCCACTGTCCTGTGTCCCCATCAGCCTGTGGATGTCCCCACAATGTTATTCACCCACTACTCTGGGCTTCTCAGGGGACCATTTCCTGTGGGTGTTAAGCTAATAAAACTCTCACTGACCTTGCTGGTGATAGTCCTGGGGCACATGTGCATTAAATGGGAAGGAGAAAATACAACTGTGGGAACTCGGAGGGTAAATGATTTAGGAAGTTGGGAAAACGTAAACTTCTGCATATGTCATTGTAGAACTATTTATTTGGCCCACTTCACAAATTTGTGGAATAAAATTAGAGAAATATTGACAACTCTTGTTCCTTCTGCATGTAAAAACCTATCATTATATACCCTGATACTGAAACATTCTCAAGGTCAAGTCTATCCCTAAGAGTTCATATCTCTAAGCTTAAGAATTGCCTTCAGGGGGATGCTTCCTCCAGCTTCACCAGGTATTTGGTCAGTCCCTCTTCTCCACTCACATTGACTCCTTAGTTTACCTTGAATACAGCCTTCCTCGTTGTATCCTTTGTTGTTGGTTTACTTGGAAGACTCTTAGGAGCAGGGATTTTTGTCTTACTCCTTTTGTTTTGTTCATCTCTGTAATTCTCAGCACAGCACCTGACGTACAGGAAATGCTCCGTCGATGAAAACATGAAAGCAGTGACCAAATGAGCTTAGCTATGGAGCAAATCATACTCAGTATTACCCTCCACCATGCCTGGTGTATGGTCACGCTCAGTAAATGCGCACTGAATGAATGAAGCAATCAATCAATCGATGAAGAAACATAGTATGAAGCCAAACAGTAGAATGTTATGTCAATGACTTGTAAACCCTGGGGTTTTAAATCAAATCAACTCAGGACAAGATTTGTTTTCATTTAGGAGCATATTTACATGAAAAGTTCTACAGAGATTTCAAAAGTAGATCACAATGAATTATGTGTTTAACCCATGTCCCTTTGTGAAACAAATATGATTATTTAATGGCGAAACTAGCTGGACTGGTTTTACATCACTGGGAATAGCCTTCCTCTGCCAGTGAAATACGCTTCTCTCAAGAGTTACCCTCTCCCCCATCTCAGACGCTAGCATTGACCAGTGGAATGTTCAGCACAGACAAGACATTTAGAAGGATTTAGACAGCAATGAGCTGGAGGCAAACTAGCTGGTTCAGGGAAATGACTCATACGCTGTCTTAGGAGGTTTATACTAAATAAATCAAGGTGTAGGTCCTTTCCAAATTACACTATCAGTGACCATGAGTGTGAGAAACAGGAACATCCAAGGCTCACATTGCAGTACATCCTTTTAAAAAGCAGACTCTCTCTCTCTCTCTCTCTCTCTCTCTCTCTCTCTCTCCATCTCTCTCTCTCTCACACACACACACACACACACACACACACACACACACACAGAATAAACACTCAAGTGCTGTGATACGAAGAGAGTTGCTTTGCAGCCAGAGCAATCTAGGTCCTCGTTCTGACTCAGCCTTAGTCAAGTTGTTTAACTTCTGTGAACCTCAATGTTTCATGATTTAAAAGCAGTTACGATGTCTGCCCTATGAGAGCAAGAGAGAAGCATTCTGTTCTTGGAGAGAAGAGATGGCATTTAACACCAGGCAGGCCCAAACCATCACTATACAAAACTCCATTTAAAACTGTGCAGTTACTGTCAAATGTTTATTTTAACAATCAGAGAGGAAGAGAGCAAAGCAGACTCTGTGTAATGTAGAGTTCGCTGTTCACAGTGAGGAAGGAAATTCATCAGGCACAGAAGCAGGAGACTGGATTAAAGCAGGAGATGGGGCTTTCCTGAAAGGCAGTGCCCCTAAGGTGGGCACGCACTCAACGGGACCCATTTCATTCATTTCTTTTCTAGGAAAAAGTCAGCCTTGCAAAGGGAGCTTTCCAAAGCTCTCGGATCATGGGAAAAGAACCAAGCCAGTTTCTGGAAAGAACTTTCTGCCCCTTAACACAATCTAGTCAATCAATTTCAGACAAAATGGTGACTTAATATCATGAGCGGTTCTTCCAAAAGAATACCCCTCACCACCGGGCCCATCTTCAGCACGGGAAGCTATAGCCCCCAAAAGCAATGGACAGTTCCTTCCCCCATGAAAACAAGGCTGGCTTGAGCCATGCCAGCCTTTACTCTGACTTTGGTGGAAAGTGTCACTTCTCCATGTCTCCATGTTGCTTTTTATCTTATAAAGCCACAAGATAGGACATGCTATGAGGCTGAGATGAGCTATTTTTCCAACCAGCTTGTAACCATATTTAGAAATCAGAACTACAAAAAGACATAATCTGCATTCCCCCAAAATGAAGTTCTATAGGATTCATAGTGGCCTCGAGTTACTGAGTGTGCCTCATGGGACTAAAATAGGTTTACCCATCCCTTTAACCTGGTGGACCCAAAGCGGGAGAAGGAAACAAGACCACCCATAAAATTTGATCCCCTCTCCTTGGAAGAACTCAATGTAATGGAGTTGCTAAGAAGGCTCTGCCCCTCAAAACAAGGTTTTCTCATTGTTTGGACTAATGCAAATAGTCAAGTACAATTTGCCCTGGAAAGCAAGTTATTAAATGCATCAATTTGTTTCTGGTTGAATTTAACTGTTAGAGGAAATTAATTTTAGTTGCCTGGAAGAAAAGACCTGAAGCCATGAGTGAGTTTTGAACCTGATCAGTCTGGCTCAGCACCCACACTCCTGGTCATTATACGATACTGGCTCCAGATGAGGTTTTTGAGGTGCTTTGTCCTTTTCAGAGTGTTTTAATTTCTCACTTAGAATCCATGACAGATGTAGGATGTAAGTAGGAAAGATAATGTCATCTCCATTTAACAGCAGGAAAAAATGCTGAGGTTCAGGCATGTTAACTGATGATTCTCAAGCCCCATCACAAGTCAATAATAAAGTCAGGACCAGAAGCATTCATTCTTTCAACAGGTGTTTATTGAGCATCTACTCTGTGCGAGGCAGTGCGAGGCTCTGGGGAAGCAGAAGTAGACAGATGCTAATCCTGACTGAGCATTTTAATGAGATAAATAATAGACAAGTAAGCAACTTCAGCTGTTGAGAGATACTATGATGAAAATAAACAGGACATAAAGTGAAGAGGTTGTGGTTACCATAGATTGACGGTCAAGCAAGTAACATTTCAGATTAGACATAAATAACAACAAAGAGAAGGAAAAGCATTCCAGGGAAGAGGAAGAGGGACATGTCTCCTGGCATGTGTCCAAGAACGGAAAGGCCACTATGGTAAAGATGAGGAAGAGTAGGAGACGAGATGGATGCATAGACAGCAAACAAGTATAAATATTTTGAAAATACTGTAGTGAAATATTTTCCATCATTCTTATACCATCATGCCCAGTAGCTCTCTGTCTATTGAATCAATAACTTTTAATATTCCAGAAAAATGTTCTAGAAAAAATAAAGTCATTTTTCAAATTTTACTAAAAATTGGATGAAGAGAAGGGTATAGCAAGACAATAGTTGTGAGAGTCAGTATTTTATATAGAAAAGAAAGATTTCTTGATCTGAAAGTTCCCTTTACATCTCAAGAGCCACTCCTGGTCCTTTGTCAAAGGTAGAAACCCTAAGTGGAGAGAACTCGGATCTGATAGAGGCAAGTTCCCATCTAACCTTTAGAGAAGATAAAGCCAACTTCCTAGAGAGGGGGGCAGGAGGGAAAAAGAAAGAAAGTGGAAGAGAAAGTGATCAAATATGCAGTTTCTAGTGCCATATTCCCCTCTGGCACCATTATTCAAAGCTGGAGATGTTAGAAATAGTTAGAAACAGTAAATTTAAGGGAATCCTAAACAGTGAAATTTGTTCCCCAATTCCTTGGTCACCAACTAATCAATTGTAGCTGTTAAATTTCTCAGGTTAAAGTTGGTGTCCTTGAAATGCAAATGCAACTTCAAGGCATGCCCTAGACTCACCCCAACATACTTCTTCAACTTGATCCCATCCCTGAGTGTCTTTGGGGTAGATATTCTGAGACACCAGTGGTGGCTGGGATCCGGCCACTGAGTTATGGAGCACATCTAGGAAAATCGAGAGCTGGGAAGGAAGGCCCCCAATCAAGATTCCACTTTTCCTGGTATATTTGGATAGAACTACGCATGCAGAAAGTCAGCAATAGTTAGAAGGCAGATTTCCTAAATGTCTAAGGAGCATTTCTATTTGGGTATCCCCTCGCCTTAACCACCCCTACTGGTCCACAGGCATTCAGAACTGGTTTCCAGTGAAGGCTTCATGGGCTGAACCAGGCCCACAACTAGTGCGAGGGGCAGAGCTAGGACAAGGAGCACAGGGGGGAGGCACACTGGAGGTAGGCGTGGAGCACGGATTGCAAGGAAGCCTGCAGAGAGACAAAAAGGTGAGCAAAGTTAGGGATGGGGAATGAATGGGGGTCTCAGTGATGTGCGTGTGGAGCAAACCACAGGACGTGGACCCAACTAAAGCCCTGGCCATTTGACCCCCACTACTGTGCACCCTTAGGGTGAGACTGGGTAATCTCTAAAATTCTTCCAGAATTAAAGTTCTGTAGATGAGAGTCAGATTCTATCTCCCAAGATAGAAAATACCAGGAAGGATTTAAAAAAAAAAAAAAAGCAATTCCAAAATACCTGCTGGATCAAATCTATTTGAGGAATAGCCACATTTCTACTCTCATCAGTCAATGGCTATGCCAGGCAGCGCCACTGGACACCTGGCAAATGACAACAGCCTCCTCTGAATGGACAGTCCCTCCCTCTACACTCTGTCAACAATGCGGAGTGTGAGTGTGAGACAGACAATACATCACTCAGCAGGAGCGTAGAGAGCTGCGTGCTATGCAGACAGCACTTCCCTCACCCTGAGGAGCTTATGAGAATTGGGTAAATGGTGTGGCCAGGAATTGCCCAGGTCCCACATACTTGCAGTCCTCGCTCTCCAGAAGTTTTCGGTATGTGTCAATCTCGCCCTCCAGCCGGGCCCGGACATCCAGCAGCACCTGGTACTCCTGGTTCTGCCGCTCCAGGTCAGCTCGGATCTCAGACAGCTGCTCCTCCACGGTGCTGATCAGGCTCTGCATCTGGGCCAGCTCGGTGCCATAACGGGCCTCAGCCTCACACAGGGAGTTCTGCAGGCAGTCCTTCTGTGATGGGAAATAACGCGGTAAGGCACCAAAGAAACTGCTACATGCACCAAATCTTAGCAGTGATAACTATGGCCCAAAATGTCACAATATGGAAACTCACCAAGAACAGAAAGAATTTTAGGAACTCACACCGAGAGTTCTAGGTAAAACGAATTATAAACAAGAATTTTGCCAAAATAGCACTGACTCCAAAGCTTTAGTGGCTGCATATTATCTACAGCTCCAATAACTGACAAAAAGTTTCAAGTCAATAAATTTTTGTGCAATGAATGCCTAAGCTTCAATATTTTGTTTAAAGGGGGAGGTTCACTTTTTAAGTTATATTTCTGATTTCAGCTGACCCTGACAATAAATATTTTAAAAGAAATTGACAATCGATAGGTAGGCAGGTGAGAGGAGAGAGAACTCCAAAATAAAATGCTACCAGGCCACAGACTGAGGCACCGGCAGTGCGGTGAGGGGGAAGCAGGACCCGTACCAGGTTGTGCTGGGCTTGGCGCTCCACCTCCAGGGCGTTCACCGTGCACCTCAGCTCCAGGATCTCCGACTGGCAGCACTGCAGCTCCTCGGAGCAGGACGTGGCCTGCAGGCTGATGCCCTCAGACTGAAGCACAAGTGCACAGAGACACGATCACTTCCCGGCCAGATGGAAGCTGGACTCCCCACGCTCTGCAGCACCGCCTCACCTGAGCTTCGAACCACTGCTCCACATCGCGGCGGTTGGTCTCCACCATGGCCTCGTACTGGCACCGCATCGTCTCCAGCACACTGTTCAGGTCCACGGTGGGCTCAGTGTCCAGCTCGATCCGGAGCCTGTCCCCCAGCTGGCGCCTCAGGGTGTTCACTTCCTGCGGGGACAGAAGGACCCAAACCCTAAGTGAGGAAAGGGCTTTGCACAGAGCAGACAGCACCTGAACCCCTCTCCCGACGAGCACACTGAGGGGCAAACCCACACACATGCTGATGTGAAAGGTCTGGCCAGGGTCCAGCGGGAAGAGCCCCTCTGAGACCTTCCCGAACTCACAGGGCCAATCTTTAGAGAAGAGACTCTCACTCGGCCACATCCCACAGAGTCACCCCGACTCTCAGACCCAGATCAACCGATTATCCTGAGGCCAACCAGGCCCAGGTTCTGATCCAAGAGCCACACAGGGTGGGAAGGGCTTACTCTCTGCCCAGCGCCCTCCCCTGTGAGTCTGCAGCCACGGGACCACACCTGCTCATGGTCGCTCTTGAGGCAGAGCTGCTCCTCCTTCAGGGACTCCTGCTGGGCCTCCAGGTCAGCCTTGGCCAGGCTCATGTCATCCAGGAGCTTGTGCATCCCGCACATGTCCGCCTCCACCAGCAGGCGCAGGGCGTGCTCACTCTCATGCCTGCCATCACGGGACATGCAGGGTCAACAGATGCCAAGGAGAGCCCCTCTCAGCTGCCCCAGGTCCCCCCCTTCTTTACCACCTTCAATCCTCATTTGTTCACTGTGCCCCGTGCTCTGGCTCAGAGATGAATTAGACACAGCCCCTCCTCTCAAAGGGCTCATTGTCTAGTGAAGGCCAAGATGCTGAGTCTGCCAACCCCCTTCCCTCCTGGGCCTTTTATACCCCATCCCAGGTGGGTGTTGGCTCAGTACTTTGCCCACGCTGCCTTTATTATTGTACATTGAAGCAACTATGGTTCAGAAAGACTGAATACCATGTATCTAAGGACCCAGTATGGGACTCACCACATTGTAGGGACTGTCCATTAACTAGGATAAGCAACAACCAGCAGCCTCGATTTGTTCCCTTATTCCTTGTGTTGGGCTATTTGTTCATCTCTCACCTTTATTTAGTGGAAATGTCTGGTAGCTGGGGGCTCCATAGCTAAATCTGGACCCTGACCCATCTCTACATGTCCCTTCCAACTTATACATAAACTATAGTGGCCATCCTTGCTCTGTTTATTCTCGAAATTACTTTATTCTGCTCTCGGTTAATGAATTCAGGCAGCCTTATTTCTATTTTAGGGACATAAATGAAGAAGGGCTAATACTAGGCTGTACCATACACACTTGACTTAATGGTGTTTTTTCCTCTACTTTCTATTAGTGTTTTTTTCCGATCACTGTCTTTTTTTAAATAAATTTATTTATTTAACTTAGTTTCAAGTATACAGTACATTGGTTAGACATCTATATTGTTCGTAAAACGATTCCCCCAATTTCTCCCTCCTTCCCCTGACCCTCCACTTAGCCATCATATTAATGCTAACTACATTCCCTGTGCCATGCTCTTCATCTGTTAGCTTTGGGTGTAATAATTTCTTTTAAATTTGGGGCATTTAAGAAAGAAGAAACAGAACAGCAATTATCTCATTCAACAAGTATTTGGGCGTTGGGACTTAGGGTGAAGGAAAAAGTCACTCTGAGCCCTCTTGACTCTACTTACTTGATTCTAAAGTCATCGGCAGCCAGCTTGGCGTTGTCGATTTGGCTAATCAGCCTGGCGTTCTCCGCCTTGCTGCACAGGATCTGAGGAAAACCAGCACAGTTCACACACACACACATCATACTCCAGCCTCAGCCCTACCTGTGGTGTCTACACTCCTGCTCGGGAGAACCCAAGACCCCAAAGTCTTTGAGCCTTCGGTGGTTTTGGCCTGCCACACCCCTGCTCCCGCAGACCCGGCGTATCCCGGGCTGCCCCAGACCTCACCTTCTGCTGGAGCTCCTCGATGCTCCGGAAGTAGCTCTGGTAGTCCGGGCACACGGTGGACTCGTGGCATTTGCTCCACTCTCGGATCTTGGTCTCCAGCTCCGCGTTGTCTCGCTCCAGCTGGCGCACCTTCTCCAGGTAGTTGGCCAGGCGGTCGTTCAGGAACTGCATGGTCTCCTTCTCGTGGCCATTCAGGCTGCCTTCACCGTAGGTCCCACAGATTCCGATGTTGCCGGGAACGTGGCAGGTCCCTGGCAAGGGGCACGCGGTGTTGCAGCTGGGGGGCAGACAGAGGCTGGGTCGGCCCAGAGGGGTCGTCCCCACACGGACTCGGTTGGCGTGTGCCACGGTGGTGTGGCAGCGGGGGGGCAGACAGAGGCTGGGTCGGCCCAGAGGGGTCGTCCCCACACGGACTCGGTTGGCGTGTGCCACGGTGGCCAAGAGGCCCGGGGAGGCAGGCTTGACCTCTGCCCCAGGCTGGCTCCCAATATCGATGGAGGAGATACAGAAGTTTCTTTCTCCAGGAGTCGTGATGCTGCCCAGCGATGGGGAGGAGCTGACGTAGAAGGAAGTCATGCTGTGGGCTGAGGCTGCACAAGAGGTTCAGAGTGCTGGGAAGGCCAAGACACTGAGTCTGCCAACCCCCTTCCCTCCTAGGCCTTTTATACCCCATCCCAGGCGGGTGTTGGCTCAGCGCTTTGCCCTTGCTGCCTTGATTCTCGACCTGTTGTTATATCGTCATCCTGTTACTCAGCTGTTGAGTTTACCATTAAGGGTTTCTCACCTCATTAAAGGAATGTGGATGAATCTGAGGTGCCTCTTGGCTCTTTGATATCAGGTTGTCTGTTGCTGAGAGGTCAGAAGCTTTTATTATTTTTCAAAGAACAAAAGTTCTCTTAGCCATCAAGTGTTTATACCTTGACTGGGGTTGACCTCCTTGTTGATTTGCCCACTCTAAAGGCATGACCATTCCTGTTGGTCACTGGAGTAGCAGGAGAGACAACCCCCTATGACTGTAGTGGCATCCCTGGGTTAAAACTCAGCCAGCCTTCCCTATAGTGGTTCTTGGTTAGCAGATGTTATGGTTTTGGTTATTAAGAAGTTCTGTGTTTTTCTTTTCTTCAGTTGTTTGCCTTTCAGACTCACTTGAGAGGCAGTAAGACTTTGGTAAGTCTGTTCATTCAACATACATCTCCTAGCATATCCTATATGCCAGGTACAGTGCCACACACCTGATGTACAGTCCATCAGGAAGCAACTTGGGTGGGTAGCCATGGGTGTCTTGTATGAGGGTGACCCTGATAACTATGCCGAATCTGGACCAAGAAAGGTGAGCTCAAGGGTCCAGAAACAAACAAAAATGAACAATAATCTTTTTGAAAGTCAAATAAGGACTTGGCCATGAAACTCAAAGGATATTGAGTTTTCAGAGCCATTGTGGGTCCTCTTCCTGCCTTACTTCCTTGATTCTAAAGACTGTTATCAAGCACCTACAGTATGTGTTAGGGGATTGATTGGTGACTTTGTTTAATCCCTCTTATCATCTTACAAAGGATACATTATTACCTTAACTTTATAAAGAAAGAAAGGAACGGGCATTGAGGGCCAGAGACATGAAATCATTTTCCTAAGATCAACCTATTATACAGTAGCAAAGCCTCATCTCAGTATCAGTTTCTTTCAACTCCAGAGCCTATTCTTATTTTCCTCACCTTGACCACCACCCCAGCCCCCACTCTGCCCCCAAAACAGAGCAACTGTGCCATTGCCAGAACTAAGAAGGCTTTAAAGGCCTACAAACTGGAAGGCTTTAAAGGCCTACAAGAAGTTGCAATTAAGAAATAAAACAAGAACCCAACGTTCTATATTATTCCTCTTTGTGTATCAGAAAACACAGATGTTGGAGTACTAAAGCAATAGGTCAGGATTTCTCCAAGGACCATGCAGGACAATGCCCAGGAGAAAGTTCTATTATACTACGTCTCGTACCATACTACCTCTTGGTACCAGGGAACCAAGATAACTAACTGGTAAGGTCCCAAAAGTTTTCTCTCAAAATTTGCGGCAGGAAGTAGAAAGACCCCTAAGACTGAACAAAATCTAATGTCAAGTAAGACGTTCCCCCAAAGTGGTTACAACTAGGTCTCTGAGCAAATGAATATTTGCCAGTGCTCTGAGCATTGCACAAAAGCTGAACAGACATCTCTACAGGGACCAGCTATGTATATGTGAAACATAAGCTATTAGAGTTCTATCAAGAAGAAATGCATAATTTGAGAATTTGGTCCAGATAGGGTTTTCAAGAAAAGGTAACTAGTGGTCAGCTCTGACCTAGGATTACTTGGAGCTCATCAATGAATAACTCTTTACAGACACTATCATTAGAAGACATTACCAGGCCAAGTCATCCCATCCTTCAGAGGCTTCTGGGTACAATCTGCATAGGTTATATCTTCAAACAGTGCTTTCCTCATCATACAGCAACAAGCTTCTCTGTAAACCAAAGAACTTGACTTGTAAAGTTATTTCTTTTGACTTGCAAAATAGAATCCATCTTTTGACTTTATTCTCCAGCTCAATTCATTTCATTAGCTAAAACCCATGATTTCTTCCATCTCAAAATAAATAACACTTGTTACTTTATAACATCACTGCTGAAGCTTTATATGTTTGGATGATGCTTCTCTCTACTAAAGCTCAGTGATGGTCCTGGCTTGGGCTTCTACTGAGGATGCTGTTTTGCATAATGACTCTGATGTTGCCCGTCTCTTTGTAAAGTCGCTTGGTTCCGCTGATTTGCATTTTTCTCAAAGGAGGTGAGTATGGGGTGAGGATCTTTGCCCTCATATCTAAAACAACCTTCTTCCCTAATCCTTTAAACAGAGTCCCTGTGGCCCTTGATGATCAAATATGAGCCAGGTTCAGTGAGGTGAAGTGGCGAAGATAGAGTGAGAGATGGGAGCCTTCAGCCCTCCTTCGCTCGCCTGTGTGCACAACGTTCTCTGCAATGATTCCGATTTTAGGAATACCAATCTCCAGAGGTGGGCAGTCTACTGGAGATGGACGTTGGAGCTGTGGTCTTGGGATGCTATTTTCAAACCTGATGTTGCTACCTGTGGGTGTATCTCAACCAGTGGGAGAGAAAAGTGTGGAGTTTCAGACTAGCACCTGGAAATTGCACCTAACCCACAGCTTACCTCTTCTATGCTGCAGAAAGATGCATGGGAGCATCCAAAGCTTTGTGTCCTGCATGGCAACATCACCCATCACATACTGCACCATTGCAGTATGAAAACACAGATGCAAAGATTGGAGACAACTCCTGTGTGTAGAGCCTCCTACTGCATGTCTCCTAGGTGTACACAACTCTCGAGGCTTTGACAAATGGAAAAGGCACCTTTCCTATTCAAATTAGATAGGATTTTACCATCTGATTTCTTAGATCTATAAAGTTTTATTTACTTATCAACGTTATTTTTCCACCTACCGTGACATACTAGATACTAGAAGTGGATCTATAAAAGATACAGCACCTGCCTTAGAGCGGGAGAGAGATTTGTGACAAAGCTCCACATTGGGCCTATGAGGATGGTGCCACATTCACTCTGAGGTTACCATCTTTCTTCTCATTATCCTGTCAGTGACCCAGGAGCAGATCAAGTTGACACTAGTTGTTCTTTGCAATTGTCTAGAAAAACCACTCCTGTTTTTTCTTTACTCTTAACACTCACAATACTTCAGACACCAGATTTATGGGTTTTTACACACCGAGCAATTCTCTATGACACCAACTGGATTTCCTATAATTCTGACATTATCTACCCATGTCAGATCCCACAAGGCAAGGGCTTAGTCCCACAAAACTGTCTCCACTTTAGACACCAATTGCAATTCCCAGGTTGTCACCTGTACTTCTGAATTTCTGGCTATAAATTAGGGTTCCCACAACCCCATCCTAGGTTTTGATAATTTAGTAGTATGGCTCACAGAACTCAGGAAAGCATTTACTTACATTAGCTTGTTTATTTAAAAGGATATAATAAAAGATACAGATAAACAGCCAGATGAAGAGACATAGAGGACAAGATATGTAGGAAGGCGCTGGAATTTTTATGGAGGTTTCAACAGGTAGGCATGATCGATCATTAACTCAGTCTCTAGTCCCTTTCCCCTTCCTGGAGGATGGGGGCAAGGTAGAAAGTTCCAAGCATCTACTATACCTTGGTCTTTCTGGTGACCAGCCCCCATTTAGGAGCCCACCAAGGGTAGCCTCCTTAGAACAAAAGACACTCCTATCACCTAGGAAATTCCAAGGGATTTAGGAGCTCTGAGTCAGGAACCGGGGTCAAAGAACAAATACTATAACAAAAGATGCTCCTAGTGTTCTTATCACTTAGGAAATTACAAAAGGAATTAAGAGTTCTGTGTCAGGAACTAGGGACAAAGGCCAACATACACATTTTCAATAATTTCACAGCAACGGAAGTAGAAAAAAAGGAAATCCCAATTTCCGAGCTGCCTGACCTCAATCAGGTTACTTAACCTTTAAAAGCATCCATGTTCTCCTATCCACATTTACGATCAGATTTACATACCAGGTGTGTGGAACACCCAACATAATGCTCAGCACAGAGTAAGCACCTAATAAATGCCAGCTCCCTTCTTGACTTCAGGGTCTTCAACCATCACCATCACCCCCTTTAAAAAGCTTAGTGTTTTCAGAAAAACAAAATGGCTTTATAATATATGAATGTATGCTCACTTTTTGGTTCAATATAGTCCCACTTATTTATTTTTTATTTTGTTGTTTGTGTTTTAAGTGTCATATCCAAAAAATCATTGCCAAGACCATGTCAAGGAGCTTTTTTCCCTATGTTTTCTTCTAGTTTTATGGTTTCAGTCTTATATTTAAGTCTATGATGGAACAGGCTGAGCTCTGTGACAGCACAAACTTGGGTAGGGTTCTATACTTCATTCTGCTAAAGGTCCATGTGGAAAGGGAGAGATGGTGCTACCTTGGTCGGTTTGGGCAGCAGTGAGGCTTGCACAGGAACCCCAGCCTGCATGGGCATGCAAGTGACCCTGCGCCTGATGCACTCGACCTCTCTTTGCCTCCTGATCCACTTCCTCATAGGCCTCCATGCCATAGTTAAGTGGCCCCAAGTCACAGCTCAGCAGCTAATCAGCTCTGTGACTTCAGGCTCAGCTTCTAATTTCTTCAAACTTAAAAGCTTCTCATCTATAAAATAGGAATAGTGATTCTGTCTGCCTCATAAAATCATTGTTAGGATTGAGGGCAACCAAGCATCAATGCTCAGCAAAGCTTCTGACAGTAAACTCTCAATGAAGGTGCACTTTATTTCTAGATGCAATAGAAATAATAATATTCACCTCGAAGGGTATCGAAAGGGTTTGAATGAATAATGAATGTGAAAATTCCCAGCCCAGCCTTGACGTCTAGTAAAATCAAGGGAGAGATCAGAAATGTCCAGATTACTGCTCACACTGGCAGTAAATGAAAGGGAGACTGGCGGAAACAGCCACACAGAGAGACTGATGAATCCCCCTGAATACCA